GTGCTTGTTTGTTTTGGTGGTTGGGCCTTGGTGGGTTGGCCTCTTTGGTTCTGGCTCGTATCCTCTCATCCGACTCTTCGAATTCATCCAAGGTGACTTGTGCCTCTCGGCACACATAGCGCCCGTACCCGTGCAAAAAAAAACAACAACCTGAAGTGACATGAAGGAAATCGGCAAACGGTCATCAGGCGAGGGAAATACGTGGTCAAAAAATGAATCCAGCTATCTGCATGAAACCAAGAAATTGTCAAAAGCAATCAGTCACGAAAAATCGATCAAAGGGCAAAAATGAGCACGAAAACTGACTGTCGGTTGCATTGGTTCAAGAAGGTAAAAGCGATTTCACAAATAGACTGAAAACCAAGACATGTGATCGCAGCTCGCTGGCACAAAGAATTGCGCTCGGATTCTGCGAAGCCGGAGTTGGTGGTGGAATGTGAAACGCGTGGACTAGCCTCTCTCAAGTGTGGTGAGTTGGTGTTGGTGTTGAGGAAGGTGGGTTGGTCGGTTGTATATGGTGAAGCCTCAAAGGTTGGGCGGTGTTGCATTGATAGACCACGCCAGTCCTTTGACAATGGCGTTATGGGGGTGAATCGCCCAGCAGCGGGCTTTAGAGTGGCAAACGGCGCCATGGTCTTGTTGTAAAAGGTGCATGGCTTGGGCTTCACCGCCGCTGGTGAACTTAGTCCCCCGGCCCCAGGCTAGGAGATGGATCATGATAGAATGGATGTTTTTTGCCATCTTCCATGTGTTGTGTAGTATGCGGGCTTGTTCGTAGTTGTCGTGTATTTGCTGGTGAGTAATGCGTGTGGCTTGGGCGAAAAAGCCCGGGTTGGCGTCAAAGTGGAGGGTGCTGGGCAGGAGACGGCCTACTGTCTCTGGGGTAGTGGAGGTGGCACGAGTGGCAGGCGGTGGTAGTGGGCGAGTGGCCTTGTCGACCAAATGTTGACGCAGTGGTAGGAGAAGGTGTCATAGGTATTGGTAGCGTCATTCCACTTCACATGGGTGAGTTGGCGGAAGTCTGCCAAATCATGATGGGTGTAGCCGCTGTCAGCGAGGAGTTTGGCGACGTATGCATGTTGTGGTTTGTTCTCGGCTGCCAACTGTGCAGCATGAAAGTCGAGCCACCATTCGATCTGTTCTTGGTGGGAAAGCTGGTGGAAATGTGGTGGAGGTGGTTTCCAAGGTGGATGGGGGCGTCGTAGTGCTGGAATGTTGGGAAAGTCTGCCTGGGACATGTTTGTGATTTGGTGGTGAGGTGTGGACTGTTGATTGGGCCGCAGAGTGATGGGTGCATGGGAGCGGCTGCGGGAGCGGCTGTCCGAGGTTGTGGAATGTGAGGTTGAGGGGGAACGGCGACGCCGGTGGCGCGTCGACGAAGCTTTAGCAGTGGAGGTTGGAGTGGAATGGTGTTGTCCGGTACGCCGGTCGCGTGTGTGGCGACTGCGGTGACGATGACGACGATGGTGGGACGCTCAGATCGCCAGGAGCTGGTGGCGCAGGTGCCACCGTGGAAGGTGTTGGATCAGAAGGAGCAGTAGTGGTTGAGGCTGATGCTTGATGTGAGGGTGGTGAAGGGTGAGCTACTGGTGGGAAAAGGGAGTAAGGTTGCCAAACGCCTTGAGATTGGTCCCAGTGAATGGGAGTCGGCTGTGCCAGTGGTTGTGGTGCGTGCGGAGCGTGTGGAGCGGATGGCGCCGGTGATGAAGGTTGCAAAGAAGGTGGATGGTGTAGAGGTTGTGCTGGTATGGTCTCAAGTGCCTGCATCTGAGGTGGTGCTGGGTAGGCGTGTGTGTGAGTCACGAAGAATCCGGTGGAGGATGTGTTGGCATGTGATGTGGCCACGTAGGAGCCGGCGGTTGCGGTGAAGTGGCCTGAAACTGAGGCAAGATCGTTTGTGGTTGCTGATGAGGCAGAACGGTAGGGAGAGGTGCTGTTGGTGGAGGATGGTGCCATGGTGGTGGCTGAGTGCTGACAGTAGGTATTGTGGGTGCGATACAAGGTGATGGCCATTGTGGATACGGCCAGGGATACTGCATGTGGAGAACAATGGAGAGGCCAATCTGAAAGGCTGCAGAAAATGGCGCCGGCGCAGCACAGCAGCGGAAGTAAGAAATTGGAAATACTAGTGACATCTGGAGCCTGAGTGCATGTGCAGTGAAGTAAAGTAAGGTGAAGTCTTGGCGTGCAATGCAATCCCTGAGATCTGCGGTGCGGAGCATGCGAAAGCTGATCGTTAGCTAAACGGCTGCGGGTGAAAAACTAAAAGTTGAAGGATGTAACAATGCACAAATCGATCTCATGACCTGGCAACACGGATGGAATTCAGAATCGTTGGTGGGAAATCCGTCGCTTATAGCCCGGCGGCTCGAAAGTCAGTTAATTCAGGGATAAAGTTGAACAAACGGAAAAGCAGTTATAAAAATGGAATCGGTGATTTCCGGTATGATTTCAGCGCCTCCTTTCGGAGGGTCACACCCAGTACCCAAGTGGGAAGACTGAGCGGTCCACACTTCGAACTTGGTTTTCAGTTAGACTCAATTGCTACGTTGGGAAGGAGGGCGGTGGAACAGTAAGGCGAAAAGTCCAAGAAATTGTAGGTGTTTGAACATCGATTGTTTCCCTTGACTGCGGTGGCGGAACGGTGCAACTGCACATCTGCGGTGACAAAATGGGTTTAGGGGAGGAAGCATGAACTACCGTGAAACAAACCGATCAAATTGGACAGCGTGGTCAACAGTTGTTCAGCAGGTACGTCACTGGACGTCTCCAGTGATATCAGTACCGCCACAGAAACCTCTTCGTTGGACCGTCACTTCTGTGGGGTAGACAGTCCCCCTGCATCGGTGGAAAAAGTGGAACATGCCTCTGTTACAGTGGAAAGGTGAGAACGTGGAAAACCCTTAGAACCAGGGTGTGACACACACACACACACTAGTCGTGCTGGATACTGCTTGGCCTTGGGCGGGTGAAGCCTACGGGCTTTGCCGTTTGTGCGCATACTTTTGTGCGCGTAAACTTATACGCGCAAGATCATACGGCCTTATCGTTCTGCAGATCGTTGCTCAAGCATGCTACAAAGTCAATAGTGGCGCTGGATACTGCTTGGCCTTGGGCCAATGACACTTACGGGCTTTGCTGTTTGCGCTGTGCATAAACTTATACGCGCAAGATCATACGTTGTTATTCCCACTTATTCCCCAAATAGGGATAGCTGTGGGGTTCTTGCTGCAAAAAAGAATGAGCTGGCTGCGCGCGCTTTCGGAAGGGTGTCGGTGCTGTGGTGAGCTGGCTGAGCGCGCGTTTAAGACGGGCGGCGGCGCTGGTCGGGCGCTGGGGCGGCTGCCGGTGTTGTCAGCTTATGAGTGCACCGGTGCTGGTGTCAGCTGATTGTGCGCGCTGTGGAGGTGCCGTAAGCTGGCTGCGCAAGCTGCGTACATTCTTGTTCCAGCCAGTCGCATGTCAACAGGTCGTGGGATTCGGCCTAGCTATCTGGGTCTATGCTGGTGTTATTGAGTCTTCAGCGTCTCAATCAAAGCCTTTGATTGATGCGCAAGTAGGTCGACGATGCGGCTCGAAAGCATGCAGCGGTTCTTGTTTGATGGCTCAACAGCTTATTTTGTCATACAGTGCGGACCAGTTTTGGCCAATTTTTGCAGAAAACCGTGGCTCGCATCATACTAAACCCGATCTTCTTTGCCAGAACGAGCTGGCAGGCAGGCTCCCAAGACGGTGACAAAAAGATCCATCGCATGTTCTGAATCGAAACTACATTCTAAGAAAAGGTGATCATGTTCAAACATATTTGATTTGTTTAAACATCGAGACAGACTTTGATCTGGACAATTCCGGTCTTTGATTTTCAGCCCGTGCTCTTCCAAGCAGAGCCGACGTCACCCACCCCTTGGTCCTTGGCATCGATGGGACAACTGGCGGACTGTGTCGTCTAGTGGAGGCACCGGGACAAGTAGATGGGATGGTTGAAAGACGCATGGTGTGTTCTTGAAAGACAATTATCTCAATTTCTCATGAATTCTCTCAGAGTGGATGTGAGTTCTTTTGAATCCAACAGATGTGACCAAGCAACGGAGCAGCGAACGACTTGTTTCCAAGTGAGGCCATGCTGGGAATAGAGTTTCAGAAGCCCGAGGTGGGATCAGTGCGCAAAATTTTTGGATCTGTGGTGAGTCAAGCACTTGCTTTTCACAAACAACACTTGCAATGTTGGGGTCCGGGAACATGAGACTTCAGTTTGTGGTTTACATTCCTACGGGGTACTGTTATGTACTGTTTGGGTGGTATATAACACGTCGGTTCGCGAACCGACTTGCCAAGAACGAACTTGTGACTTGGGGACCGAACTGTTTTGGTGAAAACGGTGTTTCGGTGTGCCAACGTTTTTCCGCACGGTTCAGGTCACGACGGTGATTCGGTGGTTGTTGCGCTTCATCTTGGTGCTTTTCCTGGCTTGGCCTCAGCCTTAGATGCTGGTTGCTCTTTGAGACGTGCTTACATGTTGCAGGATGTCACAAGTGGCTGCTTTATGCGAATGTTATTTTTTCCTATGTGATTACGTCCCACTTCTTAAAGATTCCTTGCACATGTGCCTCTGGCTAATGTACTACTCGGTTTCCCCCACTTACGCGCCACGCAAGTGCCCTGTGCCCACGCACACTGACAGCACGCAGTCTTGACTGCTTGAGGCTTGTTCGCCAGCGCGCAGAACAGGCGATTTTGGTTTTTGATGACTTGGGACATGTTTCTTTTGCTCGATGCGATTTTGGGCCACGAAACTCTGGTGAACTCGGCCTTTTCCAGCTTCCGTGGCTTGGTTTCTTGGCTCTGTTTGGCCGAGGAGGAGGAAGAATGCGAAGAAACCGAGTCCGACGTGGCAGACGCCAGAGCCAGGTCCAATGGACTTAGGCCATCGGTGTCCGCGACCCGAAGAGAAAGCTGCGTGAGACGTGAGACGTGAGGGGTTGGGCCCTGACGTGAGACGTGTCCAGACGTGAGGTCCAGCGGCGTTGATTTGGACGGGTGATTTCACGTTGCACACGGGGTTTCAGAGGTGATGAGAAAGAACCGGGTGAGTCAATGAAGTGCCCCGGAACGCGGCGTAGCGGCGTAGAGGGATGGTCGAGAGACCATTCCGACGTGCCACGAGTCATCGATTCACCTGGGGTTTCGCTTGCGATCGGCTCGCCCTGGTTTCGCCTCCGTCATTTTCAGCACCTGGACGTGGTCGAAGTTTCATGGACAAACGTGTTGGCCGTTTTCGGATGTTGAGAGTCTCGGACCGAGCAGAAAGAGGAACTCCGCACCTTCGAAAATGACCAGGGCACCAGTCGCTGCCTGGCACTGCCGACGATCGTGCAGGTCCCGTGGCTCCACACGCCCGACGACGCGACTGCAGCCGCGTGGGGGGGCCGAGCGCCGTGTGGGTCGTGAGGTGAGGAGGTGTGTTGTTGGAAGGCTGCCATGGTCCAAGAAGGTGAAAAAAGACCCAATGACATCCACTGGAAGCGGAAGACATCCACTTGAACAAGTCAATGGGGGCGAGAGGGGGACACGCCGAAGACGTTTCCCCCTCGATTATTTCCCCCCAAGGCCGTGACACGTGCGCCGGGTGACGGATGGGTGGGGGGGGTACTGGGTGGAAGAGCTGGACATGCAGCGATTTCTGAGATTTGTGACAGAGGACACCACTGGAACTTGTTCAAGATTTGTCTCTGACATTTTGGTTGTGTTTAGGCCGCCCAGCATGACATCAAGATAGATTAAGATCACTTGTTTGGAGTGAAATAGAGTGGACTTGCCATTAGCTGCATTTCTCCAAACACTTCGAGTTGCAGCACTCTTAGCGACCGGTGTCTTGTTTGTGTTTTCACGACACGACGGGCGCCGTAAAACGGCACGCCGTGGCGCCATGAGAGGTACAACACTTCAGCTCGGCAAAGAAAGGGCGTCTCCAGCAACGAGTCTCCCGATCTTGATGCGATCATCGAGAAGGCCATGGCCGGCACCATGGCCCCAAAAGGGGCACCATGGCACCGGTATGCACCGGTGTCCTTTTCGAGGATCCTGCATTCTTTTAGATTCCCTGATAGCGATAGCTGTAGGGGTTCTTACTTCTCGATTCCTGGGTCTAGGCCGGTGTAATGTATTTTGTTTTTGATCCTTGCCTGACTCCTAGGATTTGTCAGGAACCTGCCCGATGCAAGAGTCCAGGTGTCCAAGCCCAAGGAAATGTGGCAGCCGCGACGCAGCGGCGAGCCTCTCCTCCTCAAGAAGCAGGTGGGTGTGGACTCTTCCCGAGTCAGCAGTGGATGGGGCTCAGGTGGCCTGGCCACCCTCCACGACCGGGTTGTTCAACTCACCTGGTCTTCGGCCAACCTGTCCACCTACACTACGAACGAAAGGCCTACACGACGCTAGGTCGTGCGTCGGTCTAATGGGTGAGGGAAAAGCCTCCAGGTCGGGGTGCGAGTGGATTTCGAGACGTTGCACCTGAGTTCTTAGAGCTCGGCTGGGTGCAGGGCAAGTGTGCTGTCTTCTTAGGCATCGGCAACAGATTTTGGGCGGTTTGGATGCACACTTAGGATCAGAGGGATTAGACAGATCGTGAGGCATGAAAAGCAGAGCGGGGTCCGTTCGATCCGGGTGGGGTCCGTTGGTCACTCCTGGCAGTGCCGCGGCTCGGGGATGTTGGGTCCAGGATGAAGCAGATGGGACCGAACGAGAACGTGTGGCGGCCTCTGCCAGCAAGCCAGCGTCAGAGCCTGAGACTGTTTTGGAGTGCTGAGCGAAGATTGGAGTACGTGACATGACATTTTGGGTCGGATTTGGGGCACGTCTTGGAGCACGTGTGCTCCCTGTGCCGATTTCATCAAGCTTTGGACGACCGCTCCTGAACTTCATATCTCAGCAACACGATCTCTTGCCATTTGGAGCTCACGATCTTGACCTTCCGTCTGTCCACTCATCGAGTAGTGACTTGGACTCTGAGAAAAGAAGTGCTTGGCAGCTCGCAGATCCACGTGGGGCTTGGCTGGTTCCCTGTGGGACTTGCACAATTGGCTGTGGCCGTTTGCGCTTCAGCGTGATTCAAGTGTCCCCATGGTGTTGCCCACAACCAGAATGACCTTGCCCCTTACATCACGCGGCTGCCCTTGACATGCTGAGCTTGCAAAGACTTTGATGACTGCACTTGAAACCAACATCTGAACAGTGGACATGTCGGGCATGCGTCGTAGCTGCCCAGCTGATAGTTAGTTAATGGTTACTGTAGTTAACTAGCATGTAACATTGTATGGACTGAGCTTGCATCCTCTGTCCTTCCCTTCCTCTGAACTTGGCGCAGTCCATATGTTCACTTGAAGTCGGATTGGAAAAGGAATCGATCCAGATGCGTGACAGAACTGTTCACTTGAAGAACTGCTCAAGTTTCCTTGATCAGTTCCTTGTGTTCTTTTCCCCAAACACCAAACCAGATCTGTTTTGGTTCCGATATAAAACCATTCACAGCTTGCACCTCTGGCCACGAACGAATACCTTGCGCTCTTAGGCGTGATGCTCAAAATGGCATGACCTTGCATGGCCACGAACGACCGGTCTGCAGCTCAGATCAGAAAAGCCACCCAAAAGCAGCATGGGCTGGAAAGGGTCGTGTCTTGGCTGATTCCGCCACGCCCACCATTGATAGGCTGAAACATCTGGTTGCAACCATTGCTTCATGATGTTGCACGAAAAAGACTAGGTGACTAGCTCCTTCCCATCCTTTTCACTGGTCCAACACCGAAGGCTGTCGGGTGTCTCGCATTTCGCCCTCGGTCGGAGTCCCTCATGGAGGTCCAGTCGGCCCAGTCGGTCCAGCCGTGTGTCGGCTGGTGACACCGGCCAGTCTGTTTCGGAGTTTCCTCGGTGTCGGCCGTTTGGTGACACCTGAGAATTCCGAAGGTTGCGGCATATCAGTGACCTTGGTGGAAAAAGCATGGCCTTAGGACAATGGCCACTCCTAGGATTTGCTGCACCAGCTGGCGTCCTCTTGTTTGGGTTACTGTAATTGGTAGAGCAAGACTCCTTGCAAATGCCAACCAGGTGACCTTTATTGGCTTCAATGCTGAGAGCAACTTGCTCTTCTCCTGCGGCAAGGAGCGAGTCTTACGTCACAAGATCTTCGAGCACACAGACCACATGTCACGAGTGGGAAAATCGGTCGTGGTACTGCAGGGGAATCGGCGGTGTCAGTGAATTGGCTGATTCTTAAGAAAGCAAGCTGATACATCTTGCAGCAAGCGAGGTTTGGAGCTTAGCCTCCATGTTTGGCGACTGACCCAGCGGTGTGGGCGACATGAGTTGGGAGATCCTCCCTTCTAAATCACCAAAATCAGATTGAAATCGAAAGCATTCGAAAGCACTCCCTACGAGAAATCACATTCAGAGAAGACTACAGACTTCCACATGAAGTCTTATATAGATCACATCGAACATGTTGAGAAACAGTAATTCAACTCTATTTCCAAGCTCAAGCACCGTTTCCATCCAAAAAAGAGGACCGTGTTTCTGCACCAGTGGTCAGGACAAGATTGTTTGCGTTTGGAGCTTTCCTGCTGGTGAACTTCTTGGAAGCTACAAGGGGCACAATGGCGCCGTACACCTGGCACGGGCTGACACCGTGAAGCCAAACCGATGCGAAGGAAACCGATGCGAACCGGCGATACGACACCACAGCTTTTCGGTGTGTTTGGATCTCTCAAATAGCAATGGCCTCCAACCTGATAGCGATGTCCTCCACCCTGATATCAACGTGCCGGCCAGGTCTGGTGCTGTAGTGCCACCTTTGACTCCAGGCTGCGCATGCTGGGGTGATTCAGGGGCACCAACAAAACTGGGCTACACGAGGTGTCATGCGGCAACACTCCGTCACGGCTGCGCAGAACTGCCAGCTGGCTTCGAGGGCAATACCTTTCATCCATTTCATGAAAAAACGCCTTCCGATGAACTCGTGTTGGACCCACCCTTTGGTGGTTCTCTCGTTCTCATCGCCCAACATCCCGCCAGAAGGCATGTTCTCCTCGCAGGTGGCTCGTGACCTGCGGCGCCGATCGTCTCGTGATCGTGTGGGAAGCACGAACCTCGAGGCGAGATCGGATGGGATGGGCAGGGATGGGAAGAGGTCCTGTGAGAATCTGGACATGGAGATCCTGGAGTGATGGACACTTTTGGGGTGGTCCTGGTGCTGATGTTAAGACTCCTTACCTGCCTTACCTGTAAGGTTCATGACCTTATTCGTCACGCAGAGTAAACTTTAGTGTCCTAAAGTTAGGTTTTCGAAGTGACGGAAAGAAGATTATGCAAACCGTGCAGACGGCTCAGGGAGAGTCGGTTCGGTGCCTTACTGTATTTACAAATGACGTAGTTCAAAACTGGACCAGAGCGCAAGAAACCGGTACTCAAAGGCAGGAATGCATTATTATTGTTTACTATATATATATATATATTACTTGTCTACCAAATAGGGCATCGGGAACTCGATGGGTGAGACTTGAGCGCCCCATTGCGTAAGAAGGATGCATTCATTGGTGTCAGTCCTGAAAGTGAAGATCTTTTGCAGTTGATAGTCTTCTCCAAGTCTGTGGAGAAGAGCTGACAGGCCCTATACCACTTCTCTTGTTTGTATCCCAGCAGGCTCTACGTTTATTTGGTAAGGTATATTATCCAAGTCTCACTGCATCTTTGGCACAATCTTTTTTTTTTTAAATAGAGTAGACTACAGCAGTTGGGACGAAGCTGAGGAGTGAGAGGTCGTTATATGATACGTAAAGGTCCCCCCCCCCCACATCTATATATATACATACATATAATATATCAACATACTTCTATGGTATACATATATATATATATATATGATAGATATCAACATACACTGCAAACGGAAGGAGCGCCAAGCTTGCTCGCATTTCACCTTGCTGAAGCGTTGAACGTCGGACGGAGCTCGTCCAAACGGAGGGAGCTCGCCCGGGTGGAGCTGCCGGGCGTCGTGCGCTGTGTGGAGTGGGCTGGCGCAGGCACGGCGCGGTGTGGAGGTGACGTGGCGTGACAACGAACGCACGGCTGAGGGTGCCAGGGGTATGACTGCGTCACTCGCCATCTGATTTGTTCATCTTCAGTCGGCATCCCAGATTTCTGTCGAGAGTTTGCTTTGGTTTGTCCATCTTACGCTTGATTCCAGCCTAGTGTGTTCTTTTTGGTGGAGTCGGTCCCAAGCAGAGGATCACCAACGGTGGTGCAGAAGCCGATCGACTGGAACTTTCGGGAAGGAAGTTCTGCTTCCCTGAAGTTTGAGACACGGACAATTCGACCATCTCCACAGTCTCTGCTTCGGATGCTTCAAAGAATCCTGGCGGGATCCCCATGCTTCGCCAGTTGCTGGTGTGAACGCTTCCGATGTCAGCGAACGCTTCGTGCGTGGGATCTCAGCCACTGAGTGCTGCCCCGGAGCGAATGAAACATGTACAAAAGAACAGTCTTTCCATTTTCTACCTAATAGCAATGGCCTCCACCCTGATAGCGATGGCCACCCTAATAGCAATGTGGAGTGAGTGAAACATGTACAAATCAAGGTCTTTTCGTGGGTTTGATATCGTAACTAACATTGCAAGGCATGAGATTTGTCATAGGTGCTTGGAGTGGTATTACTGTGTATAGTAAAGGTAAAAACCGCAAATGTGAAAGACTCCTCACACTGCTAATGTCTCTTCAGGTGATAGACATTCGCTTCGCTTCGTTCCGATCAACCCCACGGATCGACGATCGACCCCACCGGGGAAGCCACCCAGGACCTGCCACAATCGCTTCGGAGCACATCCACCCGCCCTGACGGCGCCGGTTTGGGGGGTCGGAACCACACGCAACGCGTCGGGCGGTCACCACACGTCCCTTCTTGGAAGGACAGGTCTGACATAACTCGGAGCTTGGGAACACAGCCTGATTTGCCACCCAGTCTTGTAGATTTCCTCTTGAAATGTGTTTTTTCTTTCTTGACACGTTGCATGGGTGGAGCCACACATTACCATTTGTTGAGAAGTTCAGAAGCGTCCACACTTCTTCTTTTGATCAGATGTCAGTCTCCCCTACACAACTACTCATCTCACAACAGTTCTTTGCAACAAAAAAACAGCCACAATCAACGACCGCCACGCACTTGGGTCGTGGTATTTGGACCATTTGGGACGTTGTGGAAAACGACAGGTCTGGCGTTTCGATGGCAAGGCGATCCAGGTGGGGCAGAATTCGACCGTTCCTCTCCACTGTGCTTCGCGCGTCGTTCACAGCCAGCGCGTCGTGCCTTTTTTCAGCGGAGGGGTGGTGGTGGAGTGAAGGGTGCGTGAAGTCGTGCGGCGCAAGCTTTCTTCGCAGAATGCTTCGGGGAAGGCCGTCGGACTGGAAGGATTCCGGAAGGATCCGGTTTACCTTTCCTTTTGGATGAGACTTCCTGAGTCGTCTGGATGAGACTTCCTGAGTCGTCT